AAGTTGTTTGGAAGCACAGCTGGAATAATCTGTAAAAATTTTTTCCCTTTTTTAACATTGGTTTCTGAACGCCTAGTTTGCACCTCTAATTAATTTCACCTTCACAGCTGGTGGATGACTTTTCTATACGTTTTCAATAGTATATACAAAGAATATAGACGCTATAAGCGTCTATATTCTTTGGTATATATAAAGATTTACTTGCAGCAGCCTATTTCTTAATCGGTAATAAAATAACCTAGTAGTATTTCAATTTTTTTAATCGATTTTGCATATTTTAACCTATTTCAAAATACTTATTCTATATTCGGAACGTCTAAACAAGCAACATTAGATTTTATTTACAAATTTGTTTAAAAAGGTTTAGTTTTAACAAATATACTTTTAGAACAATATTCAGAAATTTGCTTTTTAACAGTTTTGGTTACACCAGTTTATAATTAATAAATCATAATAATTTTTTACCTTTATAACCAGCTGTTTAACCTCTAGTAAATATTATCAAATACTTTTCTTTAGGTCATGACAACCGAGATAATTACTATCTTCCTTTTGTGGGTATAGGCGATGGTAGACTTGTAATTGCGGCATTATTTTGTACGTAAATTAATTTTGTATATTGAATTTTACAAAACCATTTAATTTTTTGGTTTATTTACGATATGCAGTACTTGATTTATGATTTGTCCAAAAACTATAAAATTATTATTAATAAACCTTCAACTGTAACGTGACTTCATCTAACATAGCTGCTTACTTTTTTACAAGTGAATATCTTCGTTTGTGATTTATTGTTCATGTTTTAATATTGCCAGATATTTAATACAACTATATTTAAATAATTATAAAGTACGAAATGATCAATTTTTTTACATTTGAAAGAAACGAACTTAAAAAACTATTGGTGGTCTAAAAAAATGGCTTCTATTAGAAATAAACATATTATTTATATAGACAAACGAGTTGTCAGTATAAAAAAAAAACAGTTTTTTCTGGCAAATTTAGCATTAAGCTATTTTCGAACCAATCTTCGAAGGTCGGTCCATTCATTTCATCATGGTAGTCCTGAGTATTTTTCTTTGCCAAAAACGTGAGCTTTGCCCCATTAACAAATCCACTGGTAGATTCTGCGTGCAATAAAACAAACCGTGCACCACGAGCTATTGGAGCTTTTAATCCTGTTCTCAGACCACGAACAAAAGCATCGCGATGAGATGTAATTGTTTTATAAACCCATTATTTTTTCAATCTTTCAATCAAAAAATTTAAGTTCTGCCACATTTTATAAGCACAAAATCCATATCACTCTGCAAGCGATGTAGCGTTGCGCGTGAAAAGTTGGGCAAAGTTTCTTCGACATTCGTTTCTTCAGCTAATATGTTGTTTATTGTTGGTGATATGTTGTCACGAAAAAATTGATGAACTATTCTACGAATTTGGCCCCTGACACCTTCATCGTACTTGTTGTCACGAGAATTACCAACCTTTCGCTTCTTGGGCCTGCTCTTTGGAGATTGTAATCCAGCAGGTGATGAATATTTCTGTCGTATGCGAAACAGAGTCTTTTCGCAAACACCACTCATTTCTGACACTTTCCTAATTACACTTGATACAGAATCGTTGTTATCCTAATTAAGATGATAATTAATAATATTCATTAGTATCTGCTTCTCTGAAAGTTTCAGAGCTTTTCCACGTTTCCATTGAACAATTTCCTCTATTTTGCGGTAAAAATTCGGCGTCAAATATAACAATAGCCAACAACAGAAAATAACAATAATTGCCAACAGCAAATCACAACAACAGCCACCAACAAATAATAACAATAACAAAATAGTAACAGTACATCCAAGATGGTACAAATAATCGTAACTTGAATATGTTTACGCGCTCCGAAGAACAAATAAAGACTAATTAAGGCCCTGGATGTATCAAGCTTTTAAACATATTCTGTACAAGAATTACTCTAATTGCTTCTTAATTACTGAATAACTTAGAAGAAAGTATTTGAAAAACTTTGAAACAAATGTTTATTTAATGCACATTTTATTATACTACTGCTACTAATAAAAGATAAAAGTTGATAAGTTACCATTAGAAACAAATAATGTATAGTATTATGTAAAATTATTAGCAAACGATATTTGTAAATTACATAAAATTGTACGTGAGGACTTGTTGAGAACTCCTGGTTTATTCCGTTTATTTTGAAAGATAGACAATAGAGAACGCCATCGCTCACTGCATAAAACTGGCAACGTCTTGGCGAAATTCCCATAAGGTTAGCATTGCATATCTTCCCTGTACAGACTAGTCACTTTGAGACAAAGTATAGGACCCGTCCGCGAATGAGATATCAATGAGTTAAAAACCTAAATAGTCCAAAAAGTTTTGCCTAGGAGTACGTTTATTTGTATTCGATTTATATATTATGTGTGAATTTATGCTACCGACATTAGAAGAACTGTAAAAATGACCATTGGTCAGTGACGCGTTACTCTAGTGCAATTTGTTCACGGCATTCACGCGTTTTTTAGTCTGATGATAGTCTATGATTATATCTGGATTACTTGTTGCATTATCGATGTTGTCATCGTAGTACATAGTAGATAACACGAAAACATTTTTACCTATTCGGAAATTAACCAAAAATAAAAGTCAAAACTTTGCATAGCTCCCCTGTAAAAACTTCATCACTTTTTTTAATACTTCTACAATATTAAAAATAAATATTTATCTTTTTGCGATATCCAAGGCACTACAACAAATTTTTAATCGACCTGAAGACATGACAGCAATATTCACAGATTCCTTAAGGGCAATCCAGGGAATTGAGAACATATATCCGAATCATGCGATATTAGAACAGAATAGAAAGGCCTTGTGACTACAAAATAATTATAAAAAACTACATATTGTGTCGATATCATCTTATGTGGGAATACCAGGAAATGATATAGCTGATCAAATGGCCAAAGAAGCTTGTAAAATGGAGAGATCAGATGATAGAACTAACGAAATTCCTTGTTCCTGTAGATATTGGAGCAGAGAAAATCCTCACTGGGTGTGTGAGACTCACACGCAATATCTGGCTGTAAAAAAATTAACGATTGGGCTGGTATCATTAATAAAAAAAATTATTCGTCCTTATTTTTTTGAGGGCACAGTTGATGGTGAGGTTTATCTAGATTTTTTGATTAACTTTTTACTGCTTACATTACGAAGATTTTTTCCTAATGTTAATCATCCAAATGAGATATATGGACCTATATACTACCAACAAGATAGAGCTCCACCGCATTTTACACTTATAATAAAGAAATTATTTAAACGAGGTTTTCCCAATAGGTGGATTGGAAGACGTGGAAACGATTGAATAGCCGACTAGATCCCCCGATATGACTCCTGTCGATTACTTCTCATGGGGTTATTTAAAATCTAAAGTATAATTTAATAGACCAAACAGTATTGCTGATTGAAAAGTTAGGACAACGGAAGAAATTAACAAAATAACTCCCGGAGTCGTACAAAATGTTGTACGAGAATTCCAAAATCGCCTCTAGTATTGTCAAGAAGTGAATAGTGGTCATTTTGAACATTTAATTTAATTGTAAAGTACATTGAAAAATACATTCTAAATATTATGTGACATTATTATCTTCATTCAACCTAAAGTTTTGTGATAAAGACATTATCAAAGTTTTACTTTTAAAAAATAAATTTTCTCAGTTATGATTGCACCAAACTTAAAAAAGTTTATATTACTGAACAGAGTACTAAAATCCCTTTCTAACAAGGTGCCATACGACCCCCTTTGTTATTTAAAATTTTCGAGGGGGTGCTTATAATTCAAAGGGGTGCTGGAGGGGTATATTATTTTCATACTGTAAATTGTCAATTTAAGAATAAAAATCGACCTGTTTCAGGTTTTTTTCACATAGTACTTAATAACGCTAAAAATGAATTTATTCCATACATATGGACCGCATAGTATAACTGTAGGCCACATTTTTATAGACTGTCCATTATATCAAATGGAAAGACAAGCTACTGGACTACCAAGTGATATAAAGTGCGCTTTTGACAGTGAGGATTGTGACAAAATTATTAGGTTTTTAAAGAAAACGAAATTGTATAATCAAATATAAGTGATATTTCAAGAAAAATTCTAAATTATAATCAACTTTGTAAAAACTTTATAGTTTATATTTTATATTAATCATTATAATATATTATAGTCTATATTGTTCCACAACTAATAACCTTCTTTGGTTGATGCGGGTTATTCCCAATAAAAAAAAAACAAAAACAGCAATATTAAGTTTGGAAAATGAAATATTTTTGTTGAATGGAAAGTACTAACAATTAAAATAATGTTCGAAAAAATATTATTAATCTGGAAAAGGTGTTTAAAAAATTTTTGCATCGACATTGATTTGTTTTATAGTATAAACCTACAACTCTTGTATACAATATAAATATACAATATTTCTCATAAACTATTTGTAACGATAATTTTATATCCGTATTATAATACACCAAGAACATTATATTCCCAATAAATAAATTTTTTATACTTAATACAGGAAGTATAACGTAACAATTTATTTCAGTTGAAACAATACGGTAGTTGTAATTTCTATTTTCTTCTAAATCCGTAATATCTTCTTAGAAAAATGACAGCAGTTTTAAATTCAAGATAAGTTATAAATAGATTAGACTAAATGGAATTTAATCTGTGGTTTGACTAACTGTAATCAATAGAGTATATTATGCTTTTATAACATTATTATAATTGATAATTTTAACGCTATATTATCGCAAGGACGGATCCATGACGGGAGCATGAACTTTTTTTAGAAGGGATATTTGGGATCTGGGGGAAAATTTTTAAAAACTATAGTTGAAACAGTGAGATTTACGGACTTTCCATACACTTTTATATAAACAAACACTACATAGACAAATCCGTTTCTTCAAATCTATTAACCTTCTTTTAGGTTTGACAGCAACTTGTGCAACAGAGACAAAATGTGAGTTAGAAGACAATTGTGAACAAAGCAATCTCGATAGAATTCGACGAAGTGTAGAAGACAAAAAATCTACAAGTAAATATTAAAAATTTATTTTTACACAGTTTATGTTTTTTGCACATTTAACAATCAACGTTTCGCACTTGCAAATATAGCTTTTTAGCACAAGCACATGCGTTTGAAATTTTTCGTATTATTTTGTTTTAAATCGTCTATTTGTGTTCATTGCCTACTTTACACTATTTTTTTACACTGCTTGCATTACTCTCATTTTATATTATGTATTCTTTTACTGTTTAAAAAAGTACTCATATTAACTAGTCCAGGTTGTTAAGCCTTTCACGTAGGAAATATGTTTCTGATTCGGTTTCTTTATGGATTCCAATTTAGCATCTTTTTTAAACAAATCTGAAGTGTGCCGGGCAATATTCTTGGCAAAAATTGATAAACCAATTTATTTAAACAAATTCTAAAACCACCTTTTGTTCCGGAATTTCTTTTTAGATTTTTTGAATTATTTTAAAGAAAAAGATCGCTTATCATTTTTTTTAAGTCCGAAAGATTTTAAGATTTCAAATCCGAAAAATTCAAAAATACACATTGTCATAGGACCCTTAAGCTAGCAAGGCCACATGAGCAGAATCCAATTTAATCTACGCCATATTTTTTCACCCATTTTCCACTAATTTATTACCAGCCTAATAATTTTTCACCACCAAACCATCCTTAAGGGGAGCGATTCTGCTGGCTTAAGGTTCAAGCTAGCACAATTAAAAAAAAACTCTTGTTTAGAAAGAAAGTTGTGGACTCTTAATTTTACCATTCACGACTTTTCTGATTTATCAGCCCACCAAAAGAAGGTAGGAGAGGAAATGAGATAACCTCTGCTATATTAAAATGGGCTGATAATAATATCCCTCAATCAGATATCGAGAAAATCACACTATGCACTGACAATTGTTACGGTCAAAACAAAAATAAATCTGTCATAATGTGCTTTTTTTGGATGGTAAATAAATACCCTCATATCAAGGAAATAAATTAAAAATTGTCATTAAAAGATCATTTTCTGATCGAGAAAAACAAGAAAAACGGCAGCAAACATGAGCATACTTACCCTCTGGGATTGGAAACAGCTGGTTCATAGCACATTAGACAAGTATTCTGTATACAGAATGGAATTGGAGGATTTTAAGAAATTTGATGATCTGTTTGTTTGAAAAGGCACCTGTTTTCATCTCACAATGTGTTCATTTACAAATAAGAAAAGAAAATCAAGGACAGTTTTTTTTTAAAATATCTTTTAATCACTTATTGTCAGGATCTTAATGTTTTAACAAATTGCATCCCATTAGCAAACAAATATGACGATGTTATGTCCTTATTGCCATTTGTACCAACCGTATGTCATACATTTTACAAATTTTTGAAGTGCTCAAACTCGGCAGGAAACTAACCAAGTACTAAAGACGATGAACATCCTGTTGTCTAGTGGTCAATAGGCCTTCTTCTTCTCATGGCGCCGTCTCCTTTCGAAGGTTGGCAATTGTGGTTTTGGAAACTACTGCGCGAAAGATTTCTGCGGATGATCGGTTAAACCATCTCCTCAGGTCTTTCAGCCATGAGTTCTGTCGTCCTCCTACTGATCTTTTGCCCTGTACTGTTCCTTCCAGTATAACTTGAAGTAATTCACATTTTTCGCCTCTCAACACATAACCCAAGTATTGTATTTTCCTGTCTTTAATAATTCTTAGTAATTCTTTTTGTTTACACATTCGACGAAGTACCTCAACATTAGTAACTCTTTGTACCCATGGAATTGTCAACATTCATATTTATAAGTATATACATCTCAAAGGCATCTTTTTTCTATTTCAGAGTCAATTGTCCAACTTTCACAGCCATACAGTAAGACAGAAAAAACGTAACATCTAATCATTCGGATTTTACGCTGCAGACTAGGGTATGATCTTATAAAAAATGTTTTCATGCTCAGGAATGTTTTCCTTGCTTGTTCTATTGACGCTTGATTCGTTGACTATTGATATTTGCTCCTAAATATTTTATTGAATTTACCTGTTCTATCATTTGACCCTTGGCATACACATGTACCTTTAGTGGTGTCTTTGAAAATACTAAAGTTGTAGTTTTGGAAACGTTTAGATGTAAACTGAACATTTCACTGTGGTTAACTACCGCATTTATTATATTTTGTAGTTCTTGTGCGTTTCTTGCTATTAAGACACTATCATCAGCATATCTGATGTTGTTTATGTTGATTCCGTTAATCTTAATTCCGCCTGGGACCTAGTCTAATGCTTCTCTGAATATAGACTCCAAGTATAAATTAAACAGTAGCGGTGATAAGACGCAACCCTGTCTCACTCCTCGTCGGATTTGTATATCTTCGGATGTTGTATGCTCTATTTCAATTGTTGCCATTTGGTGCCAGTATAGTTCTGAGATTATTCGCAAGTCTTGTTCGTCAACTCCAGTTGTTCTTAGAATTTCGATGATATTTTAATGGTTAACACAGTCAAATGCTTTTCGGTAGTCAATAAAATATGCATATACATCTAGATTCATGTCTCTGCATCGTTGCGTTAACACATTTATAGCAAAAAGAGCCTCTTGTGTTCCAATCCGTTTCGAAATCCGAATTGAGTGTCACTCATCTGGAACTCGCACTTCTTGTAAATTCGTGTATGGATAATTCTGAGAAAAGTTTAAGGACAAGAGACATCAAGCTTAATATTCGATAATCATCGCATTGTGAGGAATTCGATCTTTTTGCTAATGCTACGAATGTTGATTTTAGCCAGTCTGTTGGTATTTTATCTGTATCATAAATCTTATTGAATAGTGCTGTTATTAAGTCTAGGCTTTTACTTTTGTTATCTGCAATTAATTTTAGTATTTCGACATTGATATTGTCTGGACCGGTGGCTGTTCCATCTTTCTGAGATTTTACTGCACGAATCACTTCTTTTTTGGTTATTTCTGGGCCTTTTTCATTTTTCATTTTAATAGGACTATTTTTTTCTTATTAATAATTCATAATAATCATTGTTGTAGCTAGATGTTACGCTAATAAATACAGTATTTTCTAAATTGTCACAAAACATAGTGCTTTTTATTAATATCCACCATCAATACTATTAAATGACATGCATAGTGGTAAATTTATATTAAAAATATAATTTTTTTTATTAAAAACAAATTTAATATATATATATATATATATATATATATATATATATACGTCTTCATATCAAGGCGAGATCCGATTAAATCGAGGACAACCCGAGATCCACCAATAGGAAATTAATTAATGGAGTATATTGTTCATAACTATCTTTATAATTAACATATTAATCATGGCACACTTAGAGGGGAAAAGATTTTTGAACTTAAATTTTTTTGATAAATTTACAACAAAATGAGATCCGTAGCTGAAAAGGGAAGGGGAAGACTTATATACGAAATTTTAGATATTTACAGATCAACGCGAGATCAGACACTGTTGCCAGCTCTAAAGAGTATTAGTCGAGCGACCGGAGCTCGTGTTGTATTGCATATTTCCTACTCAAACAGTAAAGTAATTTGCGGTTATGGTGTTTTGTATTTTAAAAATATTGCAAGGGCAGCGGTCAGTTGAAGTAGTAAAACAAAATTCAAAGATAACAGAAGCTAAGTAATGATTATAATTTTTATGTATATTATTAAATAATTCAACATAAACTTTATAAACCGAATTACTAAAATGCTCTGTTTTATTGAATTTGTGAAATCTATTCTCAAAGCTCTTTTTGTTTATTATTTATGTACAAAATTAAAAAGGGGAAATTATTTAAACTAAACAGTTTATCTGTATAACAAAAGCTATCATTTTAACATTCTAATCGTGTTTTAACATAAAAATATTAGTTTTGTACAAGAGTAAATACAATTCCATACTGAAGAGTAAATAGACTGGAAAAAGGCTTCTAGAATAGATTTTGGTGGGCACTTTGTTGCTAAAATGCAAAACCTATTTTTATTCGTTTCTAATATCTTTCTAATGCAAAATCACTTGGTCGTCCAAAAATCGTAGCGTGAGGGGAGTGTTGGGGAGCCTTACAAAAAAGTGCTAATTTGTTTTTCGTCCTTTTTCGGATCTACGATATCCGAAAATTCATTCTTCAAATTTGCATATCGATCCGGACATTAGAAATATTTTTATTTTATTTATAAAAATACGTCAAACCATTGTTGTATACGGAGTGCCTTCATACAAAATGACTTAGAATGAGTCTGAAAACCCATATTTTTAAAATCGTTTCTCCTCGCTCTACCCCGAAAAATATTGGGTCTAGCAAAAAATGGCTTTCTATAAAAGTTATAGATCAAACATCAGAGAACATGTCGGTTTGTTTAGAATGTCGATTAGATAAATAGTTTAAGAAAAAATTAAATAAATCGAAAGGCATGTCACGACGCACAGTGGCAAACGCAGAGATGCGAGGAAGGGCGAGATTCATAATCTGAAGTCAACCTCAAATCGACTTTAGTAATGGCGATGTTGTTAGGGTCGATTTTACATTGAAATTCTGTTGTGTTGTATATTCGATTGCGAAAGTGCATCATTGTGCATTATTTTTTACTAATAGCACGAAATCCACTGAGCTGAGATTTTTAATATTAGAAGTTTTAAATTATTTTAATGAACAGCAGCAGGTATGACAGTGAACTTGAGTCAAAAATCAGATTACGGCATGTTTCTTTCCGTAAAGTCCATTTCCATTTTCGTTTGCTGAAAGAAGCGGAAACTGGAGAATACATTTTTGTTCTAGTTTTAGAAAAATGTACCCCTACTTCTTTGCATTTGACCATGTGAACTATTCTTTTTGGGGAACATTACATTTGTTGGACATGTACAAACTTGCTGATAAGGCTCCAGAATTGCATGAAGACTTTATGAGAAAAAATTTTGTTGTGAAAAGTTTGAACAGAAACTTTAACCAACTATTTGTAGATCCAGCTTGAAACATATAAATACAAACTCAAAAGATGCAGGAGGAATCGTGAGATTGATT